ATCAATGATTGCCAGTATATATTGATTCCTCTTTTTTGCTTAACGGGAATGGCCCGCAATGATCTGCATGTATGGTGTCAAATGGTTTGCTTACCTTTTCAATAGGATGAAGCATTCCTTCCCTTGGTCCGGCTGGAATTTTATTATGAGCACATTCTAGACAAGCCTTGCAATATTTTTTAGTAAACTTTCTCATATTTTTAAACCAGTAGATCCTTTTGATACGTTCGTATGTCTTTTCAAACCCAAAATGACCGTTATTGTCATGATTCATTTTTAGTATTTGCCATCTTACAGATTTAGGAACTACCCAGAGCAACGTTACGGTATCGTTCTTTTTGACGATTCTATAAAGCTTGTCATTTTTTAATGTAAAGTTATTCTTAATTTCTACAACATGCTCACTTTCAGGATCTTGCAATATTTTTACTATACGCTGTAGTTCTGGATCTGACGATTGTACTGTTCCCAACCAAGCATCATTATTTACGAAGAGTACGTCAATTCTGTTTTCATTATTGTGCACATCAGTTCTAATAGGATTCCGGCTCAATGCGTCCACGTGAGCCATTTTATTACCAGGTCTATATTCGATTGTAAAATCGTATTCCTGCATAGATATCCACCATCTCGCAACGCGTGGCACTAAATCTCGTTTATTCATAGTGTTCCGAATGGCGCTACAATCCGTTACTGCTTTGAAATTCGTGCCTAACAGATAAACACGAAATTTCTGCAATGCCGTGACTAGTGCGAGAGTTTCTAACTCATAAGAGTGAAATCTCTGTTCCTCAGGTGAAGTCTGACGACTATAATATGCTACTGGGTGTACCGCATCATCGTGCCTTTGCATGAGAATTGCGCCAATACCCAGTTTGCTGGCATCTGTGTGGACTTCCACAGGTGCTGTTGGGTCATACAATGCCAGTAAAGGACGGCTTATGAGTTTCTCTTTTAACTTATTAAACGCATCCTTTTCTTCTTCTCCAAAACGCCAGCTAACGTCTTTTTTCGTGAGGTTTGTCAATGGTCTTGCAATCACTGAAAAATTCCTAACAAAGCGCCGGAAGTAACTCGAAAGTCCTACAAATTGACGAACCTCGTGTACATTTTTGGGTTCTAGGAAATTTGCCACGGCTTGAATTTTTAGGTTACCTGGTCGTATACCTTTCGACGATATTTCATATCCTAAATAATTTATTTGTGTTTGGAAAAATTGACATTTTTCAAGCTTCAAAGTAAGTTTTGCCTTACGCAGAAGTTGAAGTACCTTCTCTAATTTTTCTGTACCCTCTTTTATAGTTTTAGAAGCTATCAACAAATCATCCATGTAGGCGAGGGCCAGGCGTCCACCAGATCCCCGAAGCATTGTGTTAATAGCTCGCTGAAACACACTTGGTGCATTGGCCAGTCCAAACGGCATTCGGTTATATTCGAAAAGACCGTCAGGAGTGACGAACGCAGTTAAGTGTTTGCTATTTTCAGCCATGGGGATCTGATAATAACCAGACGCTAAATCCAAGCTTGTGAAGTAGCTGTTACCTCCCAAACAGTCCAATTGGTCTTCAATCCTCGGTAAGGGATATTTATCTTTTAAAGTTTTTCGGTTGAGCGCACGATAATCGATGCAAAGGCGTTTCTCACCGTTTTTCTTATTAACAAGAATCACTGGACTTGCGTAACATGAATTGCTTTCCCTTATTATACCGTGTCGTAACAGATCTTCTACAATAATTGTTAAATGCTCTCGTTCTTTGATCGACATCCGATAAGGATTATACACAACTGGAGTGTCATCATTGAGCTTAATGTTCATCTGAGTCAGATTAGTTTCACCTAATTCCGATAAATTGAGGGCAAAACAATCTCTATATTTAGAAAGAAGGACCTGGAACTCGCTTAACTCGGACACGCTCAATAAAGTTCCGATTTTAACTTTATCGATTGGTAGAGGCTCACTGCTATTGGCAACATCTGTTAAACCAATGTATTGGTCATTTGTTTCATTATGGACCCACCCTCTGGCTATAACGGTATTTTCTTTTATTGATGTCATATTTTTACTAATATTTGTAACCATTAGGTAGCCGTGACCAGCAGTAAATTTGTATAGGCCTGGAAGGATCATGAACTCATTATTTAAAATTAGTCGATGTCCACCCACAACAAATAAACCACCTGTATAATTCGGCTCAGTATGAACAGAAATTGGAGACGTAGCACAACTATTTATTAATGAATTTGTATTGGAACATATCCTATATTTGACCATTTCATTGCAACATTCCTGACCAGGGATACTAGTGAATATTAATTCACTGCTAGATTTGTACATTATTATGTTAGGTTTTTCAGTGTAAGTGTGGCCAATGATAACCGGTACGTGCATGTAATGATCAGAGACTACTATCAGATCTACTTCCGCAGCCACTCCATCAATCTCGACCATAGCCCTTTTAAGTCCTAGAGCTTTAACGATGGAGTTGCCGAAGCCATGTAAATTAGGTAAATTAGACGGGACCTCCCATTCAGTCAGTATATCCTTAGCATCCGATTCCCGGATCAAAGAACAACTACTCCCTAGATCTATATAGGAGGACATTCTGATGCCATTAATTTTTATAGTTTTATAAAACTTTTTATTTGCACAAGCATTTGGTTGATCAATACAAAGTACTTTATTGTTCGTTCCCGTTTGATCCAATTGTTCAATTTGTTCACCTGCATCAGTTAAGGTACTGGAGCTAGAAGGTCGCTTACGACAATCCCTGGTTATGTGGCCCAACCGATGGCAAAGACCACATTTTTTAAGAGGCTTTGGACATTTTACGCTGATGTGACCAGCATCGCCACAATTAAAATAGCGTATGCCTTCAGAGCCTCTCATTGGGTCAGTTGCGTTTGTAACTTTACTACTCCGAGACTGTGGTGTTTCTGATAATTTTCCCTTTTGCAAGTGGGTCGTGCTATGAGCAATTGTCCTCAAGTAAGAAAACAGTTTTTCGGGTTCTTCGAACATGCATGCATTTGCACCCATGCGTACAAATTTATCATCAATACCGTGTATTATGCACCCAACAGCCTTTCTACCGGTAATTTCACATTTATTTAATAAGGCAATTTTGTCATAATAATATTCATCAAGAGACTGACCGAACCTGCAACGTATTTTTAACATTTTCGTAAGTAAATCTCCATAATTCTCGTTGGAAAGAAACGTAGCTCTCAGCTTACTGACCCATTCATCCCATGTAAATAGTAAGGAAGGCAGCCCCTGATACCACCTCTTAGCAAGGCCCGTTAACTTGGGTAACGCAAAATGACATATTTGCCTATCATCCCATGAGTATATTTTAGCACACTCGCTCACTTTATGAATCCACCATTCAATGCTTTGGCTATCAACAGAAGGATCAAATTCTGGTATAACATTAAAATTTGCCGTTATATTATTAGACCACATCTGTCCTCCAGTAGGAGCAACAAGAACAGCATTTGCGCTGTTTGTTAAACTTGATGTAGCTGGTGGTTCCATAACATAAGGTAGGGGCTGAGGATTCACACTTGCGACATTATGAGGCATGTCATTTGAGCTAATTCTTATCTGTGGTGACACTGTTCGAACCCTGGGCAACGGCGGAGTTCTTATCGAAACGCTCCTATTACGATTTCTACCTCGAGATCGATTTTTATTACTATGTCGAGATTTGCGATGATCGTGGTGCCGACAATGGGTTGATGGGGACCGTTTACGTTTTTGCCTACCATGGCGTCTTTGTTTACTACGACGATCAGGAGTACTAGAGTTATGAGAAGTTCCGATTGATGTTGATGAGCTTCCATAACGTTTATGAGCATGATTACGTCGCTTACGTCTGACCTGAGAACGTGACCTGCGTGGCGACCTCATAATATGAGTTTATTATTAATATCAGTTTTATTATCGAAAAAAACGCCCAAAATTATTTGTTAACATTTAGGGGTATTTTTACTCTTGTGTCTTAACTAACGGTAACAAATTAAAGGAAGAGAAATATTTATAATTACATGTTTAAATTAAAAGCTATCATACAGAGATATTGCAATTTCACTCTATAAGTTTTATGGTAATTAACAAATTTAAACAATCTGAGTAAAAAGGATTAAATTTATCTTATTTTAATTGAATTGTTTCAATCAAGCCTAAATTTCGTTATTTTTTCACTTATGTAGTCAAATAGTATTCACTGTACTATATTAAGTCAAATTGTATACACTGTGGGTGGCGGCCCGAAGATTTACACAGGTTGCCACTTATGAGATTAACACCGTAAGACACAGGATGTATCCACATACAAATTTATCACGAATCGCTAGAGAGGAATAAAAATCACTGACCTTGGTTCATAGTGAACTCACTTTAGCAGTCTTCTTTGCGTATACTCCAAATCGACTTTGAGAAAGGATGTCTTGCGATTACGTGTGGGTTTTGTTGATCCCACTTCTGAATTTGTTAGATTTTCTCCAATAAAACCACGGCACTTTACTTAGTTAACTGTTTAATCACTATATTCCGTGCTTAATCACACTCTCAAACTGTACATGAGTGTTTTAACACACTACACTTTACTTTTACAGAGAACACTATATTTTAATTCCACTTTGACTTACAATCTTTCGAATCACTTAATTTCACGACAGACTTAACTATTATAACCTTCTCAGTACCAATGTACGTATTCAACTGCCGGGCGTGTCAAGTGTAGGCGCTTTTATATTATGACTCGATTTTAGAATTAATGCGGGTAGTTTGAAATGGATTCATATTGGTATTAATTGTGAAGATTGCCATGTAATATTGCATAATGATTATTTATCTAACACAGGTCAACAAAAGGAAGTAGAATCTTAAATAAGAAGAAGTGAAGAAGAGGGAGAAAAGGTTCGAGAAATCTTGCCTGTGTTCCGAAATAGAACCCAGTATACTGGCGAATACAAATTACATAAATAAATAGAATTACCTTATCGCTATGCAGTGCATCGTTCAGTTTTGTTATGAGAGCGTCGATTGCATGCTCTTGGGCCGGCGTGAGTCTCTGAGCGGCCCATGACACTTCACTGTCGGTTTCATTGCGCGGCGATATGTTCTCCGCGCTTATATCTGACACGTTGTGTAGACTCTCACCGAAAACCTGGAAATAAATTAATTCACATTATTTTAGATTATTACAACCCCTCACAAGTTCAGACTGAATATCGATTCGAACAAATGACACCAAACTCTGTACAGTGCAACACCGTGCATTCTCCCGCGTCGGCATTACAGTAATTAGCTAATTAGACACTATGCGCGCCTGACCTCATTCACTATTTTAAATTTTTAATGCTTTAGTGTTTGCCAACCAATTCGGTCGCGCGACCCAACCTTATATTTTTACCAAATTTAGTATATTGTGAAATCTCAATAAATCTTTATTTTTTTCTCAAGATTGTGTTTAAATCGTACATCATCAGATCAAGTAAAGGGTGTTTGGTATAACAAGACCAAACACACTCTTTTCTGAGCTACCTGTGTAATACCTTTCTTAATACTAGACTAGACATGGGACAAGTACATGGTTTGGATTCGGTACTCGGCGGATTCGGCATTTCTTTAGGGTTCGGCCGAACACCGAGTATTAATGGCCGAGTACCGAGTACTCGGTACATGGGATATTGAGAACGTACATAGGAATCTATAATAAAAATTATTATTATTACTAATATTTAAAATTTAAGAGAGTAAGATTTTGATGCAGACAGTTCGACGCCATTTGAGTCTAGTTTGCTCCTTATGCTTCATATACTAAGCCGGCCTCTGAAAAAAGCCGTTCACTGTAAACTGAACTGGCGAGTGTTGATAAGTGTTGAACCGCATCTTTTCCCAACATAGGGTAATAGTCTTTATTAGAAACCCACCATTTATATGGATTTGTATCTCTTGCGGTCCTTGGCACGCTTAAGTAATGATCTAACTCTACTGCAGCGGAATTCTTAACATCATTAGGTTGGTAACTGGTTAATGCGTCTGCAGCTTTTTTGTTCTTCAGGAGCATGTTTTGAATGAATTTTTTATGTGTTTCCTATAGTCAACCAAATCTAAGAAATACATTTTAACAGCTGTCAGACTTATTGCACCAGGCATGCCAACCAAAAAATGGGAACGTACAATATTCGATTCTTAAAAAATTGATATCGATTATTAAGAGTTGGTAATCATTTACAGTTTGGTTTGAATGATAACAGAATAAATTAAAAACGAATAATTTAAAACACAAGGTTTATCAGTTTCTATGTATTTGTTGTTATGTACTGCTTATTTCTAGAGGTTTATTATTGCTTATTTCTTCTAAATTAAAAATAAATTTATTCAATCACTTTCAGCCGTGATAGCTCCGATGGTTAACGCTCGCTGTAAACATAACGGAACGCGAGTAACCCGGGTCCGATCCCCACCGGCACCAATGAAATTGTTGATTGCAATTTTAAGTGCTGATATACCACGTGCTCGGCGGTGAAAGAAAACATAGTGAAGAAACCAGCATGTCTGAGGAATAAGAGAAAAAAAAATTTCGAAGACGTGAAGTTCGCCAACACGCATTGGGGCAGCACGGCGGACACTTCTTTGCCCTAAAACCCTCTCAAAACTGAGGGGAAGCCTGTGCCCAGCAGTGGGACGTATATAGGCTGTAACTTTACTTTTCTTTTAATCACTTTCAGTACAACTAGTAGAGCTGTCGTTGTTTGATTTCAATAATGCAGTCAAAATTAATGTCTCTTTCAAAGTCATCTAGAATAATTTTTTTTTGTTTTTGCTACCACTTTTCCCCAATGATCCTTTGTGAAATGGGTACATGCTTCAACGAATATTGAAGAAACAGTCTAAAAAGTTAAAGCCGAGTCACAAAATAAGAAGTTTGTCTTCTTATTTTGTGACTCAAAATCACAAAATTACGCACAGTAAGCTCCCGAAACGGCGGTATATTGAAATCGCGGCCTTGTATATGAGTTTTTTTTGCCTTCACAAATTTACGTTGACAAATAAAAAAAAATTGTTTTATTCATGATTCATGTAATTTAAGGAATTTTAAAAATAGAAATTAAATTAAACAAATAGTGCATTAAAAAAAATTATTCGATTATTTGAATATTTTTACCGATTATTGGAATTTTTTTTAGCCGATTATTAGCATAACAATTAATTTTAATCATCCAAATACTACGGTAATGTACATAGCGACATATCATTGAAACGACGTCAAGTACAAAAAGTTGATACTGGTTATTTTTTAATATTTTGCTTTGTTTGAAAGGTTCAAATTTAAATTAGTGATAAAAACTATACACGTTGTAATGAAATATAACTTTATAATTCTTCGGATTTACGTAAATGGTTATTTTAAAACGTGTGAGTATGCTTGTACAAAGTTATTGATGAATGATTGATGTGAAACGTTAAAAGGTATTTCTTAGATTTGGTTGACTATAAGATCGATAATTTTTCTAGATATTTTACGATAAAACATTTCTATAAGCAGTCATTTTCGCGCCAGATAACGAAATCAATCTCTCGAACATGAGTTATTTGACAAGTAATCAGTAAACACTCATCAACAGTGTCCGTGGGTGTGTGACTGATCTAGTACTGATACACAACAAGTAATTTTCTTTCGATACTACTTGGTACTCAGTTTTAAAGTAACGATACCAAAATAACTTGGTGTCGAAAGTAAAGTATCGAGTAAGTACTTGTATCTACTCGTATCGTTTCAACCCTAACTCTGTGTAAGGGAAGTAACCGCGCGTCGCCTACAAGCGCATTTTTTTAAAAGTCGAGTATTTGGCGAATCACTACTCGTTCCTTGCCTACCTGAGACCCTTTTTACTAGAGATAAGGCATTCCATCTTCACCTCAGAAAAGCAACGCGTCTGCATTTTGATTCTTAATTGAGGATAGATGTAGATGTCTTCGGGCCACTACCATCTGTGTGCTCGTTTGTCACCCTCAATCTATAAAAAAACCTCTCATTCATCAACTTCCTTGCCAGTTATTTATAGTAATTTTTAGCAACTAAAAAAATTTATTACCAGTAATCAACAATTTTATTAAAGAAGTGTGACAAATCAACATTGTCCACCCGATGATAAGGGGATATTACACTTAATATACATACAGAGAACATATAGATACTAGACACATTTATCTATCCTCAACTAATACCTAAATGCAGATGCATTGTCACGACAGAGGTGTTAAGAAAACTAAGTAGTAGTAGACGTCATATTCAAAAAGATTACCTGATTCATTTGATCTGATGGGAAGTAATGGTGTTTCACGAGTTGTAGCACTTGCTTTCTTCTCGCTCCATTGTTACTTATCAAGCCGGCGCACAATAATTTACGAACCTGAAATAACGTACAAATTTAGAGCATTATTGCCGTGCATAGAGCAACACGGCTCATCGGCAGACTGAAGGGGAGCAGCCATATCGTTTTTTCCCGATAAAGAATTCTCTATCAATAGATAATTCTATATATATATATATATATATATATATATATATATATATATATATATATATATATATATATATATATAGATAGATAGAAATAAAACTAACCCACCAGTTGGCTCTATGTCCCTTGCGTGGGTGTCTTTTTAGACCTCCCAAAAAGGCTTTCGATACCGTTTCGATTCCGATCCTTTTGGCCAAGTTGGAGAATATGGGGATCAGGGGGGATAGCTCGTGACTGGTTCGCAGATTATCTAGTCGGAAGATCACAACGTGTACGGGTAGAAGGTCATGAGAGTGATAGGGCAGGATGCACCTACGGCGTTCCACAGGGCAGTGTACTAGGGCCTCCTCTCTTCCTCTTATATATAAATGATCTGTGCAATATTAATTTTCCTAATCTTGACTTGCTCATGTTTGCAGATGATACTGTCTTACTCGTCCATGATAAAAATTGGCAAGAAGTGACAGACCTGGCGGAAGATTGTCTCTCTATAGTGACGCAATGGCTAGAAAATAACCTTTTATCCCTTAATATCAACAAAACGAAGTTCATGTGCTATAGCAAGACAACATCAGGAGGACCTGATGCCGACGTTAGAATTAAAATTCATACATATCCATGCAATCGTAGTAGTCGACCTGACCAGTGTAACTGTTCCTTTTTGTTGCGTGTAGATTCAATGAAGTACCTTGGGGTTGAAATTGATGATAAAATAAATTGGAAAATGCATATAATGTCATTGTCTACAAGATTGAGAAAACCCATCTATGTTTTTAAAACTCTAAGAACAGTTGTTGACTACAAATTAGCATTACAAACCTATAAAGCCCTTGGTGAATGCATTATTAGGTATTGTATCTGTGCTTGGGGCACTGCAGCAAAATCCCACTTGATCACTGCAGAACGTGCACAACGTTCACGTTCATAGTATTGTCGGTGTCTTACAATACTTACCCAACCCTAATCAATTTTTAAATGAGACTCAGTAGGACGAAGATAAGTTTAAAAACCTACGTATGATACATATATATGATCGGCACTCGCAAAGTAAACGTTTAACGTACATTGTCCGTAAATAATTATTCAAAAGTGGTGTCTAAAATGATCTGATGTGTTTACGACGTGTACCGGAATAAAGCTCCTTAAGTGACCTATCTTTTGGTATAATAACATCGCAAAAATATCAAAAAACCAGTGAGTATTAAGCTAAATCATTAAATTATAAAAATTATAATTTTTGCACACGGCACTACCCCGACCTACGACAACCCGCAGAGTGCCCGCTGCTGTGATGTACCTATTGTGTTGTTGTGACTAGTGGCAGCTCCTTGTCAAACGACCGCCACAGCCGTGTCGCTCCTGCGTTGTATTGCATTGCTTTTATATTGTGTAAGGCACTGAGTAACTTTAACAAGCACCGATATGGATGTTAACGTTATTTGTGGTGGCTGTAAGGCGAGTATTAATGATAAATACTTTATGAGCTGTCAAGGATGCAAGCAGATATATGACCTTGAGTGTGCAAATCTCTCGCCGAAACGATTGAAGAAGATGAATGCTGGGAATAAACGCGAATGGCGATGTTTGGAATGCAAAAGTAAGAAACCAAAATCAGATAACACTAACACGCCAGTGCGACCGTCCATCCAATACGTACCAGCTGCGCCCGATGATGAAACCGACACTGAATGCTGCTCGGACAGCAACATAACACTGCGGAAGAAGCCAAATTATTTATCTGATAGTGAGCTGAAGGAGCTTTTTAAAGCTGAGAGGGCAGAGACAAGGGTTATTGTTGAGGCTTCGTCTAAGGGATTATCCGAACAACTCAAAGGCATGACTGTACAATTTAGTAGTTTTCAAGATTCTATGACCTACATAAACTGTCAATACGAAGATCTGAAAAAGGAAATTACTGACCTGAAAAAGCTGCTCAATTCTACTTCACAAGAACTGAGGTCTGTGAAAGAGGAGAACAATATGCTTAAAGAAAGTCTTACTACTTGCACTGCCCGTGTCAAAGAGTTAGAGGTGGAGAACCGAAAACAGCAACAATGGCAGAGATTGCAAAACCTTGAACTTGTCAACGTACCTGAAGACAAGGATGAGGAGTTACTGAACATTGTGCTAAAAACAGCGAATCACGTCGGTGCTGCCATCCAACCTACAGACATAGAATTCGCCCATAGAGTACAGCCGAGGCGTAACGCAGGTGCTCAAAGAGCACGTCCAATAATCGTCAGATTCAGACAGCGTTCTATTAAGGACCGAGTGATCGCAGCAGCACGTAAACATCGCAACATGACCACCAGAGATATCGGGATGGGAGGTGAAGAGAACAGAATTTATATCAATGAACATCTCATTAAAGAAAATAAAATGTTGTTGGGTTCTTGTAGGCAAAAGGCTAGAGAGACAGGGTACAAGTATGTATGGACAAAAAACTGCCGAATTTATGTCAGAAGAAACGACACCTCGACTCCATTTGCGATAGACTCAACAAGCGATCTTGGAAAGATATTGTAATTAAGTGCCTTGCTCTCTGCTCTTACACTTCTTATTATACACCAGTGGTCACTTTAACACACAACATACGTAAATACACATACTTTATAAAACCTACTTACACTCATGCTCACATTATACACTACATATACATATCACGTACCTTAGAAACAATTGTATACTATCCTAGCCTCTTATCCTTACTGCACGTACAAGTACTTCCAATGCACATTGTCATATCCATCACTCAAACTCTGTGTAACACCTACTTACCATTTAAACCATTCATTCATCATTGTGCGGTTCAATTGATTTTGACACCACCATATAACCAACTGCAATTATATACGTCTTGCCTATATGTTTCAACACACCCAATTCAATCAAGATGAATAACAATAATATGAAGAAAATTAAACTATTCTATCAAAACGTGAGAGGACTACGAACCAAAACAGACGAATTTTTTAAAAATGTATTATTACAGGACTCCGATATAATTATGATAACTGAAACATGGCTCTGCGATAGCATTTTTGATGCTGAGCTGTGTGATGACAGATTTACAGTCTTTCGTCGGGATAGAGGCTCGTTGGGGGGTGGTGTAATGATTATGTGTGCTTCGAATTTACAGGCACGCGCCAGACCCGAGTGGCATTGTAGTGGTCTGGAGTCTGTGTGGGTAACTATTCCTGCTGCAGCTATCAAATCCAGGCATGATTTGCATATTGCTACAGTTTATTGCAAGATAGCACATATTTATGAATCAACTCTCTGAAGTTAAAAGCCAAAACTGCAGTGATCACTTTATAATAGCGGGTGACTTTAACCTTCCTATCATTGACTGGCAATATGGGAAACCAATAATTCTGAGGAAAGGCTTCGAGCTTCAGAATGCTGCATCGAGTTTTGTCACTCAGTCTTCCTTTCTTGGTTTGTCACAGTTTAATAATTACACTAATAACCGTAATAATACGTTGGACCTAATTTACTCTGATTCGTTCGTCACCATAAAGAAATCTACGACGCCTTTAGTAAAGGAAGATCCTCTACATCCGACTCTTTCTATTGTAGCTTCCGATATTCTAGTCCCTCCAATTAAACCTCAATCCCGCACTAAATATCAATATAAACGAGCTGACTTTGATAGCATCAACGAATCTCTTAGAAATCAGGACTGGAGTTTTTTTACTTGAAAATAGTAACATAGAGCACATGTTGACGAAATTTTACTCGATTTTAAATAATTTAATACAAACATTCGTACCACAAGTTCGGTGCCCAAGTACCTACATTTACCCAGTTTGGTATAATAAAGCATTAATAAAACTAATTAAAGAAAAAGATAGGACTCATGTAAATTGGAAGCGTCATAGAAACCCGATTGATTATGCACATTTTAGCTATCTCAGACGGAATATTAAGAAACTGCAGACCGCATGCTATCAATCGTTCATTGTTTTCTCGGAACAGAGAATTAAGACTAACCCAAAATATTTTTGGTCTTATATAAAGTCCAAGAGAAAAGTAGGATCCTCTTATCCCCAACAAATGACCTTTGATCAAAATGCGTTAAATGCACCATCGGATATTTGTTTCGCATTCAGCAACTTTTTTGAGAGAAACTCGTGAACCAGCGAATCAATACCCAGCTAACTCAACAAATGAAACTCCCAGATCTGATACTATACATGACATTAATGTTACTGAAGAGTGTACTTATGAACTGCTTAAAAATCTTGACGTCAAAAAGGGAGCTGGTTGCGATGGTATTCCACCGGTATTTTTCGTTCAATGTGCTAAATCTCTATCGAGTCCTGTATCATTAATCTTCAACAGGTGCCTTCAAGATGGATACTTTCCTAATATCTGGAAAAAGGCCCATATAGTGCCAATTCATAAAAAAAGGATCGAGGACTGCTGTTGAAAATTACCGACCGATATCTATCCTCAACGTGTTGAGCAAAGTGTTCGAGAGGGTCGTACATAAATTTATCGACCCTGTAATATCGATCTCAATACCAATAGAGCAGCATCGTTTCATGAAGGGTCGGTCCACAGCTACCAATCTGGCAGTATTTATTGATTACGTATTAAGTAACATAGATGGTGGGTCTCAGGTTGATGTGATTTACACGGATTTTGAGAAGGCGTTTGACCGTGTGGATCACATTATTCTTTTACGTAAACTTTATGAACTTGGTATCCGGGGTAGCTTGCTTAGATGGATGGAATTTTATTTACGCAATCGATCTCAAGCTGTCGTCATAAGAGGATTTTGCTCAGATTTTATTGCAATACCTTCCGGCGTCCCACAGGGATCCATACTGGGACCACTTCTGTATGCAACATATTTGTACGACGTAGGTGCTTGCTTTGAACAT